GTGGGCGGCGCGTGTTTTTCGGTGGGCGCTCGTGTTTTTCGGTGGGCGCTCGTGTTTTTCGGTGGGTGGTGGGATGTTTTCGTGGGCGGGGTATGGTTTTCGTGGGCGCTGGCGGTGTACATGGGCGGTGGGCGTCGTTTTGTGCCCGTCGGGTGTCGTTTTGTGTCCGGGGGCGTTGTTTTCGTGGGCGTTGGGTGTTTTCGTGGGTTACGGCGCTCGTTGTTTCGTGACGTGGCGTCGCCGCGTTGTTGTTGAAGGGTGTTGTGGTTGATGTTGGTGGTCGTGGTGGCCATGGGTGATCGAGGAGCGATGTTGGCGGTGGTGGCTATGGGTGACGGTGATGGCGTGGCGTTGGCGGCGGTGACGAGCATGGTGGTGGTGGTGGAAGAAGAGAGTGGCCATGTTTGGTGAGCATGTTCACCAAACAAACATTGTTTGTGATCCATTGAAAATAAATAAACTATAATACAGTAATAAATAAATAAAATAAACAGATTGGACTGGAATCCCATTCCTGCCCACTCCGGGGAACACCATTCCTGCCCATTCCGGGGAAGACCATTCCGGGGAACATTCCGGTGTACATTCCGGAATCCACCGGAATTCCACCGGAATGGAAAACACCGGAATAAACAATTTAGCAGGGCCTTCTGCTAAATTCCATTCCACCGGAATCCACCGGAATTCCACCGGAATGACCGGATTCCTGCAGGAATAGGGGGGGCACTGCTAAGACCTCTCAATGCCGCCCATGGTTTCTGATATGCCTGATCCTAATGCACTGCCACATGCCCCAAAACGTGCTCATGGCCAATCTAAGCACATGAAAAACTCAAAAACACCAACCACTGGTAGCATTGAACTTGGCACTGATAAATCTATTGGCAAATCAGTGAGTGCAGCCACACAGGAGGCCACTGTATGCCCTGCACCATTGTTACCCATTCCTATATCCACCCTCATCAACTCTGCACCCCCACCCTCAGTCAAACCTACCCACAGCACATGTGCAAAGAAGGCCCTGTGGTGGCTGATTCCAAACTGGCTGTTGTAGCGCCTCATTGTCAGACACGCATTAATGATGCAAGGGCAAAGGCAAATGCAAAGTAGTCCTAATTTCTTGTTGATAAACACACATCCAAATTAGTCTATATTGGTGGGCATCAATTACATATGAAGTGGCTACCTATCACTGTTCAATGCTGGTTCCATGTCCTTCATCATTTTCATAGCTGTTTATTCGGTGTAGATCACTTAGATAGCTGCTCAATTTGATGCTTTGGTCATTGGTATATGCTGTCATGCATATTGACTTGTAAAAATTACAGTAAGATGTCCTGTGAAGGACAACTGTAAGATTTGCTGTTGCATTTCCTTAAGGACAGGGAGCAGCACAAAGGCCCTCATATGGAGCTCAATATGCTGTCTAAATAAGCCCCTGTAACCTAGTGGAAACTATAGAAAGGCTAGTAAAGATAACCAAAGATAAGCACTAGGTGAAGAGTTCAATTCCTGCAAAAAACAAAGTACTAATTATCATTAACAGGTCTATAAGAAACAGTGGTTCAACTACAATCCAATGAATGCACATACTGTACTATTACAACCAAGTCTTCATGCCCCTTGGGGCGTGACACCTTTTAACCATCTCTTCGTTACTTCAATGTCCTGTGTGATGTGTGGTGAAGGGTTTTGCTCTTCATTTACCATATATCTATGTGGTGACTTGGCCTTGTAACTGGTCAATTTTTTGACACAAAGGCAAGGATGTGTTCCTCAAGTAGACATAGTTCAAAATATGATGTTTAAAGTACATGGCACCGCAGGTCTGAAAAAAAAAGACTATTTTAGTTTGGAAATTTTCTCTTCAAAACTTGGTGTGATGTGTGACATCACACCCACTTCTCTTCATTCAAACCCCTTTGTGATGCATGAAGTGAAGACATGGTCATAATTGTACAGTAAAACCCTTTGTAAGGTTAAGCACATTAAAAGTTTTCATCTAGCTCATAGTAGCCACTTGTCTTATAATATATTTCAACTTACAACCTGTGAGCAACTTGTAAGGGTTGACCTTCCTATTATAAGTTATTTCTCTCCGGTCGCAATGCATTGTAATCCGGCCTGGTCATTATTCACATTATTTACATTATAAGGCTCCACGGATTTTTCCGACAAATGATGCTGCACACAATGTTGTGGGAGGGGAAGATGTTGTAAACGTCGAAAATTCAAAGTACAGGGGCGTTGGAACCATCTACCATACATGGCAGCGTCCGAATACAGAAATTGTAGCACCTCCTCTGTTCCAGAGTCGGGGATAGATGAACTTTGTATTAAGTCCGGGTGAGCTAAAAAGGAAATCTACGGTGCACGTGCACAGCCAAATCAGCGCGACGCGACTTCAAAGCTTCAACGTTCAACTAATCTACTGAATCCTCGCTGATGCTTGTTCCTGTTGAACACTCATCAGGATCTCGTGCAAGTTCTTGAGGGGGAGGTAATTTCGGAAAAATTCTTTTCCAATCGGGTTCTCCAACAGAAGTAAGTTGACCAGTTACCTCATTAAACGCGCAGTCAGACGACCAGATTTCGACATTGCGATTGATAAAGCTTGCGAAGAAGTAGATCGTCTGGGGTTCAGGTAGGGTCACTACCCCTGGAATGGTTTCGACACCGGGGCGAATAGTCCAATTGCTGTTTGTTGCATGAATGAAGTCGATATCCTTTACAATAACGTGGGTTGCGCTCGTTTGAAAGGGGTACCCCACAGGCTTGGTAGTGGCTCGTCGGTCATGCAGTAAATGGACTGCAGATGGAGTACTCCAAAATTCAGACTCAGTGCTTTCGAAATGGGTAAGTCGCGGAAAGACATCTTCCAAGACATATGGACCCCTCGAGAATTCGGCTGGTTGTGAAGAGGTCAAAATGTAAAACTCGTCCTCAACGTCGATGAAGCGGCAGTTTATGGCTATGACATCTGTCGCATTCGGAAACACAAGTGAGGGCCCAGGTCGTGCATTCTCCTTCAGTGGGGCGTTGAACACCGTGGACAGAAAATCTGAGGAACTTGTTTCAAGAACCGAATTGCTTCTCCAACGATTGACCAATTCGCATTCCCCTCTCCACGTTGTAGGAAGGTATGGGCAACCCCGTATCTGATGTCTTTTGAGAAAAATTCGTGCACTTTCCATGAACGCATCACAAAGTGGGTAGCAATGATACTGGGGGAGAGTTGTGGTATCGAGAGAATTTGGGTCAGACGTGAGAAATTGTTGAACAGTCTGGTGTGTAAGAGCGACGAATTGATTTCCCCCAGAAATGGTTGTGCTGAGCAGGTGACCACAGCCGGATATCAGTTTTGAAGGATCATTGATAGTTTTATCTGGGTCCCAATCATCACCCATTTCCGCGATGTTGAGTAATTGGCTGAGGAAGTCGATTCTAATATATTCGAAACAGACCACCAAACGATGAGTACGTCGAAGGCGAGTCCTTGAAGGCTCAGGACGTTCGTCGATCCGTTTGAGGAAACGTATGAAAGTTTCTACAATCCCTTTTGGTAAGCTCTGGAGTGCATTTCGGATCTCGTGATTTGTCTCGCACGCCAATATGGTCATAACCTGAAAGGATACCCAAAGAAACCTGCATATCAGTCGAAAAAAATGAGGTCAATCAGTGCTCATATTTTCATGGACTGTAGCTTACATTCCCTTAGCATTTTCGACGAGAGTTTTGATGATCTCCTCCCGTAAGGTGCGATCTCGTACAAAATTCGGGTTCTTCTCAAGATGATTATCAAACGTCTTGACAAGGTAACTCCTGATGTCGTGTTCAATGTCGTCTGAACTGATCCTCTGTTCTCGAAGTGCGGAGTGGGATCGAAAGCTGCGCCTGATGTCATCTTCATCCCTACTGGATATAAAGAGGTGGATGGATGATGGAAGCTGATGGAGCAAGCGGAGGATGCTTTCCCTGTCCTGACATTCATCCAGGGCGTCGACCACAATTGTAAGGTGTCCGCAACTTGAGCAAGTTGCGAGCCCGCTCAATACATCAGCCAAGGGTATGTCGGTCACTGATCGAGTCCTCGAAAACTTGGCTAGAATTACTTGATTTACTTCATGTCACGTCGAGTCTAAGGTCTCTCTCTCCACTGCCGTCATCATCTGTCCTTTCAAGCGCAAGTGAAACTTTACTTATCAGAATTCAACCGACATGTTGCGCCTGTCATTGAGACACATTTTGAGACCGTCAGTACCAGGTTTGAGGCCGGCGATTGGGACACCAAGGAATATTTCAATTGTTGGCTCAGGACGAGGGCAAGGGCGTTTCAAGGTATAACGTCTCCTTATCATCTTTTGAAGGTGAAGCTAATTTTGTATAGGCCGAAGCGTGTCCTGCGAAACGCGCGCCAGCCCCGGTCAGCGAGAGATTCATGTCCAGATACCAGTTTCCCGATGAACAAGGAACGCCTCCAGATAAATTCGATTTCCTGAGCCTTGAATCGTTTGAAAACATGTCGCACAATCCAAAGTTTTGGTTACCACCGCCAGACCCTGACAGTGCGCTCTCGACCGCGTATCTTGTCCTTGTCCGGATGATCATGTACATGGGCCGTCCAAAGGAATCGGACGAGGAGAGAAACAAACACTGGGAGGTATATATGCACTCTATTTTCTCCTTGATTACAGTCACTAACAAAACAAACAAGATTTTGAGTTTGCGGTTACCCCACCAACTTCCGAAATTGGGCGTGCTAGAACTTGCGTTTCAATGTGTACCAGCGTGATCGCTCACATTCTCTCTTCGACCCCGAACGACTCGCCATTACGCATGTCCCATCCACAAGTTTTTGAAACCAACGAGGCTCTTGTCATGTTACACGACTTCTTTTTGGCTGACAGAGTAAAAGATGGGAAGGGGTGGGAGGTGAGTGTAGATCAAACAGAAGAATGGCGCGAGTTTTGGAACTTTGCTCTTGTGGTGTTGACGCAACTTGCGATGGACTTGGATGTGGCGGGGTTTGGGGTGTCGGACGAGACACCTGATGAAGCTTGGAGGGAAGCATGGGCTGTTGCGGACTCGGCGCCCTGAGCACACTGCATTTTTCTTCTTGAACGGGATTTCCTGGTGCAGTTTCCAACTTTGAGTACAGTAAATTTGAGATGAGTTGAAGATGTTTTTCAAATTGAACAAAAACCCCAACCCTAACCGGTAACCCATCAGCCAATACTCTTACAGTTTTGTCCTTCCCTGAGATGAAAATACAAAATCTCACGACATTCCCAGCAGGCTACCCCATGGCCTGCGCGCCTAATAATGAATGCCCGATGCCCCAATGTATAGTTTGATTTCGGAGGCGTTTCACGCACTTATTCTGAAATCACCTCCCCAAAGTACGCGCATATATTCGGTACATATACACATTATATTCGCGGTCGCGTGACTTGATTTACTTCTATAAAGTATAGATCTAGATCTGTCACCTCTCTCTCCACTACCATCATCATACCTGTCATTTCGGGCTCATAGAGACTTGTTCTTGTCAGAATCAAACGCTATCCAGAAGAACTGACATGTTGGGCGCGTCGTTGAAGTTTGTTATGAGACGGTCATTGGGTTTGAGGCCTGCGAGCAGTGGGACGCCGAGGAGTATTTCAATTGTTGGGTCAGGACGAGAGCAAGGGCGTTTAAAGGTATCATGTCTCCCTATTGTCTGTTGCGGAAGAAGCCAATCCTGAATAGGCCGAAGCGTGTCCTATGAAGCGCACGCCAGCCCGGGTCAGCGAGAGATTCGCGTCCACATACCAGTTTCCTGATGAACAAGGAACGCCTCCAGATAAAATTGATTTCCTGAGCCTTGAAATGTTTGAAAAGATGTCGCATGATCCAAAGTTTTGGCTGCCACTCCCCAACCCTGACATTGCGCTCATGATCGCGTATCTTGTCCTCGTCCGGATGATCCTGTATATGGGCCGTCCAAAGGCATCTTTCGAAGAGAGAATGGAACATTTGGAGGTATATATGCGCTCCATTTCCTCCTTGATCACGACCACTAACAAAGCAAACAGGATTTTATGTTTGCGGCTACCCCACCAACTTCCGATATTGGGCGCACTAGGACCTGCGTTTCAATATGCACCAGTGCGGTCGCTCACATTCTCTCCTCGATCCCAAACGACTCGCCATTACGCACATCCCATCCAAAAATTTTTGAACCCAACGAAGCTCTTGTGATGTTGCACGACTCCTTTTTGGCTGAGAGGGTAAAAGATGGGAAGGGATGGGAGGTGAATGTAGATCAAACAGAAGAGTGGCGCGAGTTTTGGAACCGGGCTTTTCCAGTGTTGAAGCAAATTTGGATGGAGTTGGATTCAGCGGGGTTCGGAGTGTCGGACAGACTGCATTTCTCCTCTTGAGCAGGATTTCTTGGTACAGTTTCCGACTTTGAGTAACTTTTGATATGAGTTGAACTGTGAACACATGTTTTGAACAAAAACCCTAACCCTAAGGCCTCTTCCCCTTTAATTTCCACCTCCATGTCGAATCCAACTCTACTCTATGGTCGTCCTGAAAGACCAGCATCCAAAATATCTTCTCCATGGACTTGGAAAAGTTCGAGGAGACGGTGCGTGATTCAATTACCAGGTTGCAATCCCCAAGTCCCCAAACCTAGACGAGTTCACGCAACGCCTCTGTACGTCACGGTGCCAACCCACTAATCAAACAACCAGACATTTGAATCTACATTTGCTCCATCAGCCTCCTTTATCACTGTCAGTCGGGCAGGGAGGTACTCAATATGTGCCAACGCCATCGTTCACACTCCCTCATCTATCCCAGGCGACTCATCATTACGCAAGGCCCACTCAAACACCTTTGATACGACTCAGGAACTGGTGCGTTGTGTGATCGAGATATTCTTGGCATATCGTGTGCGAGAGGAAAAGGGACGGGAAATGATTACAGAACAACTCCGAGGTGGACCGAATTTTGGAGGTGCAATGAAATTTATCTAATCGAACGAAGCAGGTTGTGAGAAGTGGGCTGGTACTTGGAGACAAAGAAGGATTTGGGAAGGACCGACTGACTTCAACAGGCAGGAAGACACTATTTTCAGCTTGCGAGAACATCGCAACTGATTCGCAACGCTTCGGGTGCTGTATATTTCGCCATGAGGCTTCAGGCTCTGCAAAGAATAGCTCGCAGTTTCTGCGCCCACGTCAAGATTTTTTTTCATTAGGGTCTCGAATTTCTATTGGTCATAGCCTTGGGCGCCTCCGGTTTTGTTTCAAACAGTTATTTTTTTTTTTTGGAGTCAAGTTTATAGTCCATCGGGGCAGAGCCCCATGTCAGACGTTACATCCTGGCAAACTACCTATGGCCCCTAGTGCCGTTTATACCTAACCCCCTGGAGATCCCCTCATGCACTGGTGGAGGCACGCCCATGGCGATCCTTCCCCCATCCAGCCCGGCACGGAAACGCCGTTTAGAGGGGCATCCGTTAACGTGGGCGGGGTAGTTACTTCGTTTCTCTATATGTTGCATTCCTTCTGTTGAGCGTTTGGTCTTCCAAGTACCCGATCGCAAGTGACAGGTACAGCCATAGGGACGAGCGTGTTAGGTAGAGAAAAAGAGAGAATTTGTGTGTTTTGTCGCGTGTCATGTTTCATCCATTAGAGCTAGTGGTCTCGTCTTGTTATATCTTGTGCTTAGGGTCCGAAGGCTGAGAGGCGGGTAATGAGAAAAAAGGGGGGTGAAATTTTGTGGGCGAACCTGCTGGCCGTAGCCAACTCTGCTGTCGGGTCTTGACTGATGTAAGGCTTCCTGCAAGAAAGAGACGATGTTATCTGTCAAACTTCCTCGGACTCTAAGTGGGTTACATCACCTAGGGCGTCGCCAAGCGTTGCTTTGAACCTAGCGGTCCTCCCCACATACTTGAGCAACTCCTTTATGCCATCCATACATCAGGAAAAAAAGTTTTAGCCCATAGATCGCCGGTTAAATCAGTAGCCGATTGTACCTGTCGTAGTCATCAATAGCTTGGCGAATTTCATCATCGTGATGATTGTTGTCTGTAGGTCGTCGGTCCGTCACATTGTGCGATAGGGCTGACAGAGGTGCGTCAGAGGAGGAAAGCGGAGGAGAGATGGAGTCAAAGCGGTTGTACATTGGTCGGCCATGAAATGAGAAAGGGACAGACTGTGTCGCAGGTGGATCTGTCAGCGTGAACACAGGGCAGCCATGTGACGACTGCCGAGGTAAGACTTACCTATGCCAATGGATGGGGAAACCTCGTTTTGCAAATGCGGCACTTCCGTCATCTTGAGTGGTGCAGCAACTTGAACAGCATCACCACTGAGTTGAACTCGCAACCCAATGACTCCTAGTTTAAATGCCTAAGAGTCAGCTGAAAGCAGAAAAAAGTGCATTCGCTCCGCGTGCATGCTCATTTTCAATCGGTCGCCAACGCCGCAGTGGTCCTGGGTATGAATAGTCCGCGAAGACTCAAGAGCGTGGAGTCTCTGCATTTGTGCGAGTTCTTGCAGGCGAGCGCTGGTGTCAAGGGCCCAGAAGTTGTCTGAAGGTCCACTAGCAAGCCTAAAGCAAGTAATTGGATCCTGAGGTGAGCATCGGCTGGTAGCGAGGTGAGCCGGTTGAGCAAAGACGTGGCGATGGTGGCTTGGTGTCAAAAAGTTGAAGAATTCGTTCAAGTCCATTGAATCTCCGACACCATGTGACCATGATGTTTTTTTTTTACCAACGTTGTTCTTCCCTCCCACCACATCGATGAGAGGTCCAACTCGTAAGTCTTTCCAATTCCTCACCACTATTAACAACAGCTGCTCAATACCAGGCAGCCGAGCCCTGAGGGCACGGAGGTTCCCCTCTCGCTGGTTCCTCCCCCTCACCATACATCACAACAGCCAACAGTAAGGAGGGAAAGGTTCACAGGGGCCCAAGGTGGGCACCTACTCTTGATGTCTCTTATCCGTGTTTGCCGTACTCACACCCCCCTTTGCTTCCCTGTCTCTAGAAAGTTTGTGCTTTTGTCCAACGTTCGTCCTCTTCATCTCCTGTCAGTGCGTACTTTTGTCCAACTAGTGCATGCTTTCGTCCGCTGTCCACGTTCTCCGTACTCACAGCCCCCTTTGTCTGCTCAGCTCTAGTCCGCGCGTGCTTTCATCCTCCCTCACCCGTGTTCGCCGTACTCACACCCACCCCCTTTCTCTCGTCTTTCCAGTTTGTGCGTGCTTTCGTCCGTCTTCGTCCACGTTCACCGTACTCACACCCCCTTTGCCACCTCATCTCCAGGAAGTGCCTACCCTCAAGCATGTGTACCATGTCTGTGCGTGCTTTTATCCTCCCTCGTCTATGTTTGCCGTACTCACACCTTTCTCTCCTCGCGGATTTTGCAGATTATAACAGTATTGTCTCATGTCGTAGTCAGCACGCCGGTGCACCTTCCACCTCTCTCAAGGACATTCCTGCCATCCCTGTCTCTGCGTTTGCGGCTGCTGTATTGGAGTATGAGGAGAGCTCGGAGATGGATGACGACGGTGATATGCTTATTGCTTAGTATTATAGATTTGTTTGTAAATCAACAGGAGGGGAAATACATATGTATTCCTTTCTAACTGTGCTACCTGGTACAATAATGTCTCTGTCTGTCTATGTATAAAAACCGGGCTTCTGTACTATGATACTATGGGAGACTATGTCGTGAGCAGGTGAGGCTATGTATGTAATTATAGTACTATATAAGCGGACAGTGATGCTATGGGGTACTATATAAAGGGGGGGTTGCAAAAGTGCTACCGTAGCTATCACAACTATATTGTGCAATGTCGTAACCACTTTTTTTCCTGATGTATCCGTCATGATCCCCTGTAAATCCCTCGAGCGCCGGCCCAATGCCCTGTCCATGTTGAAGCGTTTGGCTGCATATGTCTGGCATTCAAAAAGATAGTGGATGGTCGTCTCTGTGATTGTCCCACGGCCAGCCTCCCAGCAACTAGCGCAACGCCTGTGGTCTGACCTGTTAATGCGGTGTAAGTAGCTGTTAAGTGGTATGTGTCCTGTCCGGAGCTGTATGAGTAAGCTGGACTGCGATCGTGAGAGAGCATTGCTGATTTTTCGAAACTTGTTGAAGGGGAAAGCCCGGTCGATATGCTGAAATCTTGCGAAGCGAGGCGAGGCCTTCCACAGCTCGAGCCATTTGATCTTCTGGCTGTCCGCAAACTCTTGCTTCGCTGCCGCCACGCTGATGGGCAACGGTTTCTGAAGGATTGGCGGTAGCTCCTCTGGTGGACTCGACTCCCCCTGTGCCGCCCTCTTTGCCTCCTCATCCACCCTCTCATTTCCAGTGACTCCCTTGTGTGCCGCTATCCACCTCAAAGCGAACTTGGCAGTACCTGTGGTGTGAAGTCCGTTAGTACTGTCATTCATATTCTCCGTTAGTCTCATGTATTCCAGGACCAGGTACTGTCCTGGCCCTGAGTTCCTCGCTCCCGTTGCCTTGATAAATGCCTGACTGTCCAAGTAAGTTGTCACCTTTGCCTTCCCCACCTCTGGTCTCCCCTGCAGCATCCACGCTGCTAGTATCAACCCTACTGTCTCGCCCTCGAACGTGGTGTGTTGCTTGATCGATCCTAGGTGGAATCGCAGGATCTTCTCTGGCTCCTCCATCCCTTTCCTGTACATCACTGCTGCCGCACCAACCTTTCCTTCGTAGCCCGACCCGTCCGTAAATATCTTGATGTCTGAGTTGTCGTTCTTCTCCTCCTTAATTGAGTCCTCCTTCGTGTCTGCAATTGTCGTGGTAAAGGTGCTATGGTATGTTGGTGGTCGAGGTTCTGGCTGTATGGTTTTGTATAGTTGCGGCTTTATCTTGTAGCGCTCTATTAGCTTCTGAATAGAAGTGAGGTGTGTTCTTGCCGGAGCATTACTGTATCCTCGTATCATCGCCCGGGTAGGATGTCCAACTGGGAGGGATGCTGCTCGTACCATTGCCACGTAGCATATACGTTCTAGCATAAGGTTAGCTGGCAATATCCCGGCATGAGCATCCAGGAGATCATTAGCGGACGTCCGTAGTCCACCAGTGATGGCCAGAGTGGCTATGCGTTGTATCTTACCCATTGACTTCAGGGCCCTGACTGACCCACTGTTGTTCCGTTTGCCTTCCTTCTTGTACGGAGGTACAAACCAAACATCTAGGGCGTACGTCATCTTGGGGACCGCTACTGAGATGTAGAGCTGTCTCATGAGCCTGGGCCGGATACCTAAGCTGGTACGTGTTAGCCTACGAAACATCAGAATGTAAGCTGTAGCCTTAGCCATAGCTTCGTTCTCTTGGATCCTCCATCTCAGCTGGTAGTCGATATGGACTCCGAGGTATTTGTAGCTCTCCACTTCCTTGATTACCCTCCCCTCCAGGCGAAGCGCTGGGTTCGGACGGTCTGTGGGCTTCCTTGGTCCAGGCTGACAGTGCATGACGGCCACCTTGCTGATTTCGAATCTTGAGTTGTGATCTAGAGCCCAGTCGAGGCCTCCATTCCTCCTCTCCATGAAGTTCTTGAGCGCGCGCATCGAACCCTTGAATGTCTTTGCTGTCGCTATTACCAGGGCGTCGTCCACATACCCGATTGCATCTTCCTCCAGCCTTCTCAGGGCCTCTAAGAGGTCAGCGTTGTACAGGATATACAATAGCATAGAGATAGGATCTCCCTGTCCTATGCCGTTGGTGATTTCGATGAGCTCGGAGATAAAGTCGTCGAACTTCAGTCTTGTTTTCCTGCCCTTTAGTCAATACTTTCCATTCCTCCACTGATTCCTACCGGATTCCGCGGATTCCGGCCGGAATCTAGGAATTCCGCGGAATTCCAGGAATTCCGTGGATTCCGGCCGGAATTGACAGGAATCCGGCCGGAATTGACAGGAATCCAACTGGAATAGACAGAAATTTTAGTACAAATCTATACTTCTCAGTTCCCCCTACCATTCCACTTTAGCTAGATGTCATATGACTTAATCTGCACTTATCAAGACCTCC